CGGAGCACCGAGTGCCTGCCGGCCTGCCCGGGTGATCTGCTGGCCCTGCCGGCCGGGGCGTCGCCCATGCGCTGCGTGCCGGCCTGCCCGGTGGGCTACAATGCCTCGGGCGCCGGGTGCAGCCCCTGCGGGGAGCACTGTTCCAGCTGCCCCGGTCAGCCGGACACCTGCACTCTATGCGAGCGGGGCTGGCTGCTGGCCAGCCCGGACTGCGTAGCCGCGTGCCCGGCCGGGAGCTCGCCCCTGGGCGGGCTGTGCCCCACGTGCCATGGCAGCTGCGCGACGTGCTACGGCCCGGGGCCGGAGCACTGCCTGACGTGCGAGGCGAGCACCCCGCTCCTGGTGGGCAACCACTGCTACTCGGATTGTCCCCCAGGCACCTTCCAGAGGGAGGAAGCCTGTGTTCCCTGCAGCTTGTCCTGCGCCGCGTGCACCGGGCCGGAGCTGGATCAGTGCACGGCCTGCACCGGGGACCGGTCCTTGATGGAGGGCATCTGTGTGCCCTCCTGCCCGGCGGGCCACTTTTCCGAGGACAACGTGTGCCATGCCTGCGACGCGGCCTGCCGGACGTGCGAGGGCCCCGGGGCGTGCACAAGCTGCAAGCCCGGGGAGCTGCTTCAGCCGGGCGGCTCCTGCGGCACCTCCTGCCCGGGCGGCTGGATGGGCTGCCCCGGCGCCGGGGAATGCGTGGCCTGCCCGGAGCACTGCACCGCGTGCATGGCGGACGGCCCGGCCTGCAAGCCCCTTTGCACTGGCTGCGCGGCCGGGCGCTTCCTCGCACGTGTGCTCTTCCGATCTTGCCCGGAGCACTGCACCGCGTGCATGGCGGACGGCCCGGCCTGCAAGCCCCTTTGCACTGGCTGCGCGGCCGGGCGCTTCCTCGCCGATGGGGCCTGCGTGCTGGCCTGTCCGGAGGGCGAGTACGGGGCGCCCGGGGATGCCGTTTGTCAGCCCTGTGGGCCCAGCTGCCGGAGCTGCTTCGAGTCTGCCGACCGGTGCACCGGCTGCCTCGGCGGGGTGCTGGACGCGGCCACCGGCACGTGCCTGTCCGCCTGCCCGGCGCGGTCGGCCCCATTCGAGGGCGTGTGCCTGGTGTGCTCCGGCGGGTGCGAGCGCTGCGAGGCGGCGGCCACACAGCCCGGGTGCACCCTCGACCCGGCCGGGTCACTTGCCTGCCCGGAGGTGCTCGGCTGTGCGGCCTGCGAGCCCGGGCTCTTCCTGCTCGGCGGGGCGTCCTGCGTGGCCGAGTGCCCGGCCGGCACCTTCCCCGATCAGGAGGCCTCCCCATGGGCGTGTGCCGGCTGCCATGCCGAATGCAAGGCTTGCCTCGGCCCGGAGAAGGCCGACTGCCTGGATGCCTCCGGGCCGCGGTCGTCGCGCATCGGCCTGGCCGTGGGCTTGGCCGTGGGCCTGCTGCTGCTGCTGATCCTGCTGATCCTCCTGGTGTTGTTCTGCGTCCGCCGGCGCACCAAGGCCGGGCCCGCCGCCCCGAAGGACCTGGACGCCGAGGACGCCACCATGCTGAACACCATCGTGGAGCTGGCCCTGCCCGGGGCCATCCTGGTGGGCGTGGACACGGACTTCCGGCCGCTGGACGAGACCCTCGGCGCCGGGACCCAAGCGAGTGTCTA